CTCTTCCCTCTATTAAAAAAGTTGCCTTCGAAACCTTTGTCCGGCCAAAGCTAGAATATGCTAACGCGATTTTTGACCCTCACCACATTAACCTCACTTACGCCCTCGAATCTGTCCAGAACCGTGCGGCACGGTTTATACTGTCTAACTATTCATACACATCAAGCATCTCGGCACTAAAAGCAGAGATTAACTTATCCGATCTGGCTAAGCGCCGCAAAATCGCACGTCTTAACCTTTATCATAAATTCTTCCATTCTTTGCCTTTAGATAACCCATACATCAGAAGAGCCCACCGCATTTCCCGCATCAGTCACTGTAACGCAGTATATTCACCACAAGCCCATACTGTGACCTTTCAGCAATCGTTTTTCCTGCGCACAGCCCAAGACTGGAATGACCTGCCCACCGAAGTCGCCACCATCATCGACACCCAAGCATTTAAACGGCTCATCGAAACTATCATATCATAACTGCCATAATATTGTTAGCCTTTGTAATACCCACTCCCTCATGTAATATCCCAACCGGGACCTTTGAGGTAATAAAATGAATGAATGAATGAAACAAGAAAGGTGTACAGAGCTTTCTCGGAATCTGTAACTACTATCGGCGATTCATCAAAGATTTCTCTCGTATTTCTCGACCTCTGACCAACTTAACCAAAAAAGATGTTCCTTTCGTCTGGGATGCGGCATGCGAAGTGGCCATGCAATCCCTCAAAGAGAAGCTGATCACAGCCCCAATTCTGCGTCAGTTTGAGCCGGGAAAGCCGATAGAGGTGCACACTGATGCCTGTGATTACGGCATCGGTGCCGTGCTTGTACAGAAAATTGGAACTCAAGAGAGAGTCGTCGCCTATGGCAGCCGCCACCTTAACAAGGCTGAGATGAACTACAGTACAACTGAGAAAGAATGCCTCGCCGTTGTGTACGCCTGCGGATAGTTTCGGCCATACGTCTTTGGTGCTAAGTTCACGGTCGTGACTGACCAAGCCAGCCTGTCTTGGCTAATGAAAGTAAAGAATCCGAACGGTCGTCTTATGCGATGGTCCCTGTTGCTTCAGGAATTCGACATAACGTTGCGACACCGCCCTGGTCTCAAGAATGGAAATGCTGACACGCTTTCCCGCCTTCCTCATGATCCCGCACCTGTAAGCGAAGAAAACCCCTTACCGTTGCTGGTTCTGGATCAGGTGGATGTTGGAAAAAAGCAGAGGGCAGACCCATGGATGAAAGAAGTTATGCAGCACCTCGAGCACCCGGATGCGCCCGTTGTCAGGAAAACTAAAAGAACGGCGCGGAGCTTTCGGCTGATCGACGGTGTACTGTATCGAAGGGCGAAAGGGTTTCAGCAGGATCGTGTGGCACTCCTTGTCCCCAAGTGCTTGAGATCTGAGATTTTAAGGTACTGCCATGACGACACCACGGCAGACCACTTAGGTGTCAAACGCACATGGAAGAAAGTTCGTTGCCGATATTTCTGGCCGAAGATGTCCTCGTACGTAAGCAAGTACGTTCTCTCCTGCCCCGACTGCCAGACACGAAAGCAACCACCGGGGAGGCCGGTCGGTTTCCTCCAACCGATCCCACCTGCAGGTCGACCTTTTCAGCAGGTGGGCATGGACTTCATTGGGCCTTTCACTAAATCCAAAGCAGGGAACCGCTACATCGTCGTGATTACCGACTACCATACGAAATGGGTCGAGGCTGTCGCGTGTCCAGCGGCCACTGCCGCAAAAGCAGCAAGAGCTTTCGTCGAACAAATCGTCCTACGTCATGGTGCCCCGGAGAAAGTAATAAGCAATCGTGGGCAGCACTTTGTCGCCAACTTGACCGAAGAAATATTCCGGCTCGTGGCTAGCGAGCATGCCACCACAACAGCATACCACCCACAGGCCAACGGCTTGTGCGAGCGTTTCAACCGCACGTTGGCTGACATGCTCAGCATGTATGTTTCCTCGCACCACCGCGACTGGGATGAATTTCTACTGTACATTCTTTTTGCATACAATTCTTCCACCCACGAGACGACTGGATTCACTCCCTTCTTTCTTCTTCACGGACATGAACCGACACTACCGGTGGATGTAGGGTCGGGCGCGCAACGCGGATTCGACTACACCCTGGATGCAATGAAAGTGGCTCGCAGGCTGCGGCAGGCTCGAAAAATAGTAAATGAACGGGAGAAGCGTCAGCAGGAGAAGAACAAACGCAGCTATGATGCTAGGCGACGAAGTGTTGTTTATCATCAGGGCGACTTGGTGTACTTGTGGACTCCCTCCCGGGCGAAAGGGAAGACGACGAAGCTTCTTCACAAATATCGCGGACCTTTCCGTCTTGTGCGCCGAGTAGCCGAGAACAACTGGGAGGTGGTAGACCAAACTAAGAAAAAACGTGACATTGTGAATGTGGCGCGTTTAAAGCCCTGCCACGTTCGATTGGGCTCCGATGCCGACGACGCGGACGATGAGTCTGATGATAATCATCAGGTGCGTGATCTAGGTGGTGATGTGTGCGAGTGCAGTGCAAGGAGAGATGACCACAGATTGCATCGAAGTGTTGTGCGCGGGAACAGTGCAACGAGTGATGAACAGGGATTTTATCAAAGTGTTGTGCGCGAGTGCGGCTCCAATGGTGATGTGCGCTAGTGCGGTTCGCGAGTGGGTCAAGAACCCCGTTTGCAACATTGTGTGCGCGGGACACAGACCAGTGTTCCAGTACAGCAGTGCGAAAGCTATGACATGGACACTGAACTTTACTCTGACTGGAAGACATTTTCAAGTGGTAACAACGCACAACAGAATGTCAGTGCTTACGACACGGACACTGAGTTGTATTGCAGTACCGACGAGTGAACCTATATATTTCTGTGCCCAATGATTTTGTTTTATTTTTCATCTGTTGTTTTTTATGTAATTTTTTTAAAGCTTCTCACCTTTTATACACATGCATAAATGTCTTTGAATAAGCATTCTCACACACTTGTTGAATGCAAAACCTTTTTGTATATTTAGTGTATTTCTTGTCGTGTTTTGCAGATAAAACGAGTGGGACACTCTTTTTCGTAGGGGGGAGGTGTCGCGAAAGCAATGTCTCGCGGAAAACCTTGTTCTTTTTCAACTACAACTGGAGCTTGTTCTTTGCCAGATGCCCTTGTTAGCGGCGCCATTTAACTTGTCTCGGGGAGCGCGCCTTGAGGAAGAATGAGTGAACAGAAAGGGCCGCGTCTGGTCGGTCACTGTGCGCTTCGCGCCAAGGCAGGCACCGCGCCGTGCTTTGGACCAGACCGCAGAAATTGGGTGCCTTTCTCCTTCTTCTAACCACTGAGCCCCCACGCTTCAAACGGACGAGCCGCCGCTTCGGTCCTCCGGGGACAAAGGGCACCTAAATTTGAGCAGTCGTTAGCGCGTCAAGGCTGTTTCGGAGAACGCGCCCGTTTCAGAAGCTGCCACAGTGTTGTCGCGAGACAGGCTTCAGGCAACCACATGTTGATTTGATTATCCTCGGCTTGCCTGGTTGGTCCGCACCACCGGGGAGGCTAAAAAAAAACCTATTTAAGCAGCGACTCGGGCTCTTTTTGAGGAGAGCGGAGTCGGGGTGGGGGCAACAGCGGATCTCACCACCAGAGACCAGCCATGCAAGCCGAGGGGTATGCCACCATTTTCTATGTTTTGTCTTTGTGACCTAGTGCATTTTGTAAATTGAAGTTGCGTTAGCTAAATAAACCCCCAATGAGTGCTCCTCGAAATCATCGTGTTGACTTCTCATCGATTGCCTCCGCGGAGTTTCACCCACACTTATTGGTCTCCCTGGTCGTCCGATGCGCCTAACTTTGAACAACCCCGACGTTTCGCTACAATATGACAGCTGTGTGAATGTGGCTTTTGCACATGCGGAACTTGCTTTTTTTTCTTCCCTTGCCTGTGAATTGCAGGAGCACAAGTTCATTGAAATGTAATTGCAACCATTTTTGTCTCGTTTATGTAGGGATAGGCTCTGGGTCAATGAGCAATAGCATTTACGTTTTGGAAGTCAAAGGTTTGAGTGGTAGGGCTCCTTCCAAGTATTTCTTATTGGGGGCTTTATGAATTAACTATGCTTGCTTAAGCTTCGCTTGCAGTCGCATGCATATTCCTGCAACGGCTTTGTTCAGTAGGTGTCATCAGTGCCGAATCAACCTGTTATCATTAGCTACGGTTGTCTTGCTCTCACGTGCCAATTTTGTAAGATCTATTGGCATGAATGGCATGTTGAAATAAAACTGGCTTACTACTATCGATTTTTACATTTCCAGCTGGGTTAAAAAAAAGAGACAAGTGTGACCAAACTGGTCTTGTTAAATTTGTCAAATAACAGCATCTTTAAAGACCTCCACGGTAAAAACTTGGAATGTCACTTCGCATATCCCATCACCGTGTAAGCCTTGTGAAACTTTGTTGGCGTCTCCTTTTGTGCTCGTGTCTAGCACTGCAGCACAGCAAGAGCAATGCGATGCAGCAAACTAGTGTGGCCTCATCCAGTTGACAATGGCCATATTTATTATGAGAGAATGCATGCCACGCAACTGCAGCAGCTATGTGATGGTAAATTTTCGCTATATCTTTGTCGGTGCATTTGTTTATGCGGGTAGGTTACCATCGCTTGCATGGTGCCACGTCGTATTGCGCCAAGGTGCCCCCTCCATCGTAATGACATAAAGAGGGACACCATTCGCAGCTGAGCATACCAACAGAAAATTTTTGATTTAGTAACACCAGGTATCAAAAAGCGACTGCTTACTATTTACAGACCATCATACTTGTGGAGCATTACAAAAGATTGCATGTATTTAGTTTTATACAATTGTCGTAGTAAATGTAAGTGGGACAAAGAGCACTTAGCAGTGAATGATTGTTGTTTACTGAGGGAATGTCACAGTCAAGATTGCTATTGTTGTTGTACTTATTGTTCCACTTCCTCCTGTGGATAACATGTGTTAATGATACCTCCTTCCCTCAGATATCGATGAGTTCTTCATGAAGCACATAGCAGCATCTCGATACATGCTGAATCACAGGTTGATCAACGAAATCTTCAGTGATGCTGTGGTGCCTGACGTAAGATCGGTTGTCACAACAGGGCGGATGGGTGTTCTTAAGCGTCAAGTGCAGTCCCTCACTATGCACCAGGTATGTATGTCCCTTTGTGCTGTCTTGATCTTTAGTAGTATATTAGCTGAGCTTTACACTGCGAAAATCTTGCATGTGCCCGAATTAAATAAGAATGTTCTGTCAGCTGGGGCGGTACACTGTTAACAACGCAGCACCCGAGAGGATTTGCACGTGAAGTGGAGGAAAGTAGTTTCCCGTGACAACTTTAGGGAATACAAGCCACTTTTATGAGATTTCATATGACTGGCACATGACAGCCACCTTCATTCCCAGCGCCTCGCAAATAATGTATTGCATGCTTGGCTCTGTTATAAAGGCTTAGTCTAATGATAACTGCTGTGTATATTTGTTTTGTTTTTTGAAAAAAAAATTTTTTTTCAAAGAATTTAGTTGGGATTACCAGTTTTCATTAGGTGTTGAGTATTGTAGCATTGAGGGCTGGCTGTGTTTCTCGGCAGAGTATGATGAGATCCGTACTTTCTACCCACTAGGTACATTTAAGGTTTGGTTATAGCAGAACTTTCTTTCAGGAAAAATTGGAAGCTGAACTGCAGCAGATAGAGAAGAAATTCCAAGCCAAAAAGCGAAAGTTCCTTGATGCCAGCAAGGGAAAGGCAGGGAGATTAATCAGGTTGCACCCAGTTTGCTACCAATAACCAAGGGGAATGGGGGAAAGAGAGGGAAAATAATGTGCTTGAATGCATAGCAGTATGTACCAATCAGGCCCAGGAGGTCATAAAACTGAACTGTCACAGGGTTCGAACAGAGAGTGAGAAAAGCAAAAGAAAAAAGGCAGGGAGATTCATCAGGTTGCACCCAGTTTGCTACCTTACCAAGGGGAAGGGGAGGGGAAATAGAGAGGGAAAATAATGTGCTTGAATGCATAGCGACAGATCATACCGACAGATCAAGTTTCAGTTTTATTCCTTCAAGAGTAACTGAAGCGTTACACATAGGTTTCGGGAAGAATCGAAAGTGCTTCCGTGAGGGAGCATTGAATAGAGAGACCGGGAATGTGACTTACATTCTAAACGTTGAAATGCCACAGAACCAACTTTGTACATTAGTTTTGTTCTGTAATATTGATCAAGGCCAGCTGAGAGACGAATCAAAACTGCTTACTTGACGACCATACTTCCTGGCAGTGACTAGTTTGGCGTGCTTCCTTTATCTTACAGGCTACTCAGGCGGGCGATTCTGGGGATGCACACGTTTGTACTGCATTGTGCTTGGCATGAAGCGATGAAACACACTGCAAAAGGCGAAAGCCGGCGAAGGGACAAAGGGCAAGGCGAAATGTTGCAGAACACCTATATACTACCATTTGGTCATGCTTTCAAAGGGCCGACGCCGCCTGGCCGCGCGCGTCCGCCATGTTATGGCCCACGCCGCGCTTGTTTAAACGTGTAAGTGGCCATCTGACTCTTCGCCAATCCCGAAAGATGACTGCATGCGGTGTGCCACACAGAGCACGAACCATTCTAGAAATGGATGGAAGGTGTTTTCTTTCCAAAGCCATCCTATAAGAGCACTTTTATTCACAGTGAGAATAAAAGAGCGACAGCCGACGAATGCCTCTCGCCAATGCAGCGTGAATATTGCCAGCTTTGTGGCTGTTTCCTATCACCTTTCCTTTGCTACGTCAGCTACTTGGGGGATGATTTTTGAAACGGCGTGTGTATTACTAGTAACACAGCCACAGATTAGACTATTACAAGTTATGTGCGTAATTTTGAATTTGTGTTCAGCGAACTGGTAACTCCAAGTGGTTTCATGGCGTTTGAACCATTCTCATAAATTAAGTGTTCTTTTCGGGGTGTGCTTGAAAATAGTACTTTCGCTGACGCGGACATCTCCTTTCCTTTTGTTTTATAAGGGAAGGTGTGGTTATGAAATTGTCGTGTCTATAATTACCTGTAACAATTCACTCTGCGTTGTGTTTTCTTGCGGAGCAAGAACTACAAATAGAAAATTCGGTGTTATGCTCACATTAATCCCGATAGTACGTTTTGACTGCGTGTATCGGCCCGCGATAACCCGCATGCCGCTTAACTGGTATACATGCCGTATACTTCCTCTCAGTAATATATGTATACTCAATAATGAGCACTAATATACACCAATTCATTTCGCCTTTCATGCGTAGAGATACATGCAAGTGCGTTCAGACATGTGTAGTATTTAGGATTTATTTGTAGTCAAGAGCGCCGACATCTTTTTTATTGAATGCTTTCTTTTTTTTTCATTGGATCCCAAAGCACCGAGGAGAGGGCGACGGAACAGCCAGCGGACTCAACGTACAGACTTTGCCCATAGTGTCTCACGCACCTTCGTAAAGTTCTGGGATTGCATGAAAATGACCTATTGTGGCAACATGACCATACGATTGCCTGCCTACAGCGCAGTGGTGTAGCCAAGGGGAAGGGAGGTTGGGGGGGTTCAAGCCCCCCCCCCCCCTCCCGCAACTTACCCACCTTTATTTTCGTCGCTTTGCGCTGAAATGATTTAGACATTAAGTGGTGCTACTACCTCATTAACATTACTGGGCGATTTTACTGTGAATAATGTCTGCTCACGGGAAAATGCATCGCGGTGTTTGTCAAGGCTTTGGCACTCTGTGAGATGTTGGGCAGGAATCTCGGCCGTGAGTGTTGAAAATTGGCTCTGGGACGGCATTAATGCTGAAGCGGTGGTCATATGTGTACCCGCCGGAAGATATCTCGCCATAGTCGACCACTAGGGTAATTTTCACAAGGCAAAGATTTGTTTAAGTGGTAAAATCCGGACACAGTTCTAAGGTCTGATAGGCCATGTTCAAGCACATTACAGTGTGACTCTTCGTACCTGTGCCAAAAATAAACTAAAGCCCAAGAATAACATTTCTATCCAATCTTCACACGTTCTGCTAACATCTAAACACACACGCGTGCGTGCGCGACAGTATATTTGGCTTATTCACCGAACATCACTTGTATGCCACAGCACAATATATTGACACATATCTTTACTATGCCCTAAGTGCTAACAGCACTTGGAAGTGTCTTATGAGGAAGGTGCAACACAGGCAAACGTGCAGGCCAATCATAACTTAGAAAGGCCTACTAACATACTGATCATGTCACTTAAGCTGATAAATAAATGATAGCGGTCATAAACCTGATAGATTGATTGATTGATATGTGGGGTTTAACGTTTCAAAACCACCATATGGTTACGAGAGACGCCGTAGTGAAAGGGACTGGCAATTTCAATCAGCTGGGGTTCTCTAACGTGTACCCAAATCTGAGCACACAGCACTAGAATAAGCAACATAAAGGCGAAGAAAATCTACGAAAAATTATATATATATATATATATATATAATTCATGCATTATATATATATATATATATATATATATATATATATATATATATATATATATATATATATAATTTTTCGTAGATTTTCTTCGCCTTTATGTTGCTTATTCTAGTGCTGTGTGCTCAGATTTGGGTACACGTTAGAGAACCCCAGCTGATTAAAATTGCCAGTTTTATATATATATATATATATATATATATATATATATATATATATATATATATATATATATATATATATATATATATATATATTGATTCGCTTCACCTGTTTGACCCTTTACTAGAAGAGCACAACAAGAACTGCACAGAATGCAGTTCTGTGCAGTTCCTAATTCACATGATGACATGGGTGCACATGTCATCATGTGAAATTAGGAAAAATATACATAGTAACGATAATTTTTTACAAGAAATAAAATAATAAACTCTGTGCAAGCAATGTTTCACGCAGCAGAGACACATGCAACGCCCGAGTAGTGTTGATCGACAAGAAAACTGACACGCGCCGAGCAGCGGTCTTGTGATAGTCACACTCGTTGTTGCTTCTAAAATATTCGCGCGCGTTTTTCGAAAGCGTGAACGGAAAGAGGACCAAGGCACCATAGACTTGGTGAGTCCCCTTGCCTGAACTTTCTTTTCCAAAAAAAGTGCAGTGTCTTGCAGAGAGCTTCCAATATCATGAAGGAAGAAAACCAGCCAAGAAAACATTTCTAGCCAGAGAGGTTGGAACTTCAGTTAGCGCTTACTGAGGGAAAGGTGTATTTTAGCATACAGATTCTATGGCGCCATTAGCAAGCTTCATCTGGTCGCGTCATCCTGCAACTTTTGGCGTCTTGATCCGATAAACACGTAAAGACCAATGTCTTTGTCAGGAATCGCGGTTTCCGTGCATGCATCATGCTCCAATTTCAATTCAGGAGATTTCAGGAGTTCTTTCGGCACATGAGTCGTATTCCGGGAGTGCAGAACTGCAGCTGGGAACCATTTTTCCTGCTTCTGTAGCTTTCTCGCCAGTTTTCGAGTGTGCACTGCGGCAAGCATCACCTTTCGAAAAATAATAATCGGACGTTACCTTACGGCGTTTCGGACCGGTCATCAAGTCTCATAGAATTAAGGGCGCTGATTGACACAGAGCCCGAATTACCCACCAATACGTGTAGGCAGCGTATTTCAAGGAGGCGACTTCGCATTGCTACGAAGCAACACGCTCAACAAAGTTCGGGCAGTGACAGAGAATGCGAGAAACGGGAAACTTCAGCGACGATACACGTCGGTTGGTAAAGTTCGCCTTAAACGATCGTGCTCGTTTCTCTCCTGGCAGAAACATTCGCGGGCATACATTTCTTCCGCTTCCCTTCGGATGCAAAAAAAGTCGCGCTCGCCCAGTATTTTACTCTGCATATCTTACTCTGAACGCGAAACGTCTCGCGTTTGTGATTGCGTCCCTATACAGAAGGCTCGTAGGTTCTGTTGCGCTGTGATGCCATATCACAAACGTGAATGAACTCAAAGGAGTTCATGCCAGCAGTGAAGTTTTAGTGACTCGCATCAGAATGCGTGAAACAGACAACCAACATGCATGAACGGTGCACAGTAGAGCGTAAGTAAACTCGTGTTGCATGTGCTGGCAGTTCTGGCTGGAGTTCACGCGTTCCAAAAAATTGATTATGATGCACTATGCTTTGGAGAAGTCCGGAGTTTCTTCCTTCATCACTAGTAAACCGATTAATCGAGATTTTGTGTGGTATGAGGATGTTTCTGTTCTCGCCGGCATAAGCGCAGCAAACATGAAGGCACGCACTAGTTAGAACAGTGTATACATGGCATATCTACGCTGTGTGGCGACGAAATCTAAAAAAAAAAAAAAACGAGGAAATTATGCGTTTTGGCACGTATTTAGGTTTTCTAGCGCATATACGCGGCGAACAAGCTGTTTTTATGTGTGTAGGTATAGTATGGTCCGAGGTGGATTTTCTATTGAGACCAAGCGAACATATCTTCACAATGTTTACCTTGCCGTCGCATATTGCACGATAAAACCTCTATACGATTGGAGTACTTCTATAGCTATCGTAAGACACAGTGCAACTGTAATGTCGACCAAGGTTGCGAGGTGAGTCTGCCCCAAAAAAAGACGCGTGTGAAATCGTGTTGCCAACGTGCAGCATAACTTACAATAAAATACTTTTTGCGTATCGCAATCATGCTCAGATGCTCGCAGTAAAGTAAAAAAAAAATGTTGACTAAAAG